TCTGCTGTCAGGGAACCGGAAGAGCATAGCGGTGAAGAAGGGGAACTCTGGGGCCGAACTGCCGGGGTTAGATCCTGCTCCGCTACTTACTGTGGGCTTCATGCAAATCACTTAACCCCTCTGTTCCTCAGTTTGCTCCTTTGTAAGATGGGTCTAGTAATAGTATTTACTACTTAAACTAACACAATGTCAAACACTTAGAACTGTGACTGATGCATGACAGGTACTGCCCAAGTGCTTCCTTGCGTTGGTACCAAATCGAAACCACAATAGAAGCTGTGTTTAAAATCACAGAAGATCAACAATCTCCAATTGTAGACAAAGAAACTGCGCTCCAGGGAGAGGAGTCTCATTCAAGGCCAGAGGGACAGTTCCATAGTCACAGACTCTGTTTAATCCTGAAGGGAAGGCTCTTAAAGTCCGCAGGATAAAACCCCTAACCCATTCATGGGGAAATCAGGGTTCAGAAAAACGGAGCCGTTTCAGGCCTCTCCGCGATCGGTTTAGCAAGAATCAGGTTTAGCACTGAAATCAGGTTCTCAAGAATCCGCCCACCCTTGATGTCTCCTTAGCAGTGTCCTCTCCACCCCCAACTCCGCTTGTTCTCTGTCAGGCTCCAGGAGCGCTCTGTAGCCAGTTCTACCTAAATATTACATCATCTTTGGGGCGGGTAGAAAGCTCAGTGACCTAGCTAATGTGGATCCATACCCAACGAAGTAAGAGAGAAGGCAAGAAGTCTTGCACTGTTGTGTCAACTTTTTTCGGGTAGATCTGGGACACTAAAAAACCTGAAAGTGTTCACACTTATATCCATACAGAATATGCATCCATCCTCAAATACAAAGCATTTCAATTAATGACTACATCTTAAAAGTTGCTATAACACTTTTAAGCAGATAGAAAATGGTTGTTTTTATTTTCAGGGGCTCAAGGCAGCTAAGCAGGGTCAGCAATGCATTCCTGTGATACCACGTAGCACCGGAGGGCCCCACCTATTGGGCACGCTCACCAATGCATTGCATACACATTGACGGTGAACCTTCTGAGTCCTGCCTTCTTTAACACTAGCTCCCATCAAAGTTTATGTTACAGAATATGCTGTATAATATTAATGCACTCGAAATATCACGTACATACCTCATCTATGAATTGGGCTGCATATGTATACCTATTTCTCACTCAGAACTCTAAACTAGCAAAACCACTGTCTATACTCTTCAGAAATGTCATTTTCAGGAAGTGCAAAGCAAGGCCGAGGAATTGTCCCCTATTAGAGACTACGGCAACTAAATGCAGTATTTGATCTTGGATTAGATCCTAGAATTGGGGGTGCAGAATGGGACGGAGGTGGTTACTGCTATAAAGATGTTATTAGAACATTTGGCAAACTTTGAGAGGAGACTGTGTATTAGATGATGGTTTTTATCAACGGTAACTTTCTTACATTGGATCATTGTATTGTGGTTCTGTAAGAGAATGTCCTTTTAAAAAAAAAAGCTAAAGTACTCAGATTTAAAGGGACATGGCACTTACGATGCATTCTGAAATGTTTTAGAAAAAAAAATACTATATAGACAGAGAGATATGAGGCACATGTGGCCAAATGTTAACAATTGGTGAATCTGAATGAAGGGCATACAGGTTATTTGTGTTACTCTTGTAATTCTTCAGTTTGAACTATAAATTTAAAAATAAACTAAAATTGTTCACATGAAAGTAATAAAGTGAAGCCTATCTGAGCATTATCTGTTTACTTTTTAGCTCTCTAGGGAATTGTCCATGACATGAAAGTTGACTGTACCCGGTTCACTTGTATTCACAGCGCTCATCACAGAGTAGCTGCTCCATAAATATTTGTGGGATACAGAGAGAAATAACGAGCACGGTGAAACTGTTCTGACACTGCTGGAGCCTTTCCTTTCTTGCTTCAGAATTACAGCAGCACAACTTATCCAGGAGTCTGCTGAAGAGTTTGGTTCTGAGCCAACTGTGTCAATCATTTCATGACACCATCCCAAGCTCAGTGATCAGATGGCCTTCGTACCACGCCTAGGCGACGTTTCCCAGAACTTCATTCCCCAAGATGCTGTCTCTCAAGACTCTCAGTCAAGAACAAACCAATGACCAACTCCATTCAAATTCATAACAAGAAACCCTACATTTTTGTTGTGGCCGTGTTATCTCCGTTCAGGTATCACAAATCATTCCTTGAAATTGGAGGGCACTGATTAAGAGCATTTTTTGTTAAATGAATGAAAACAAGGAGCATGGTAGCTCTCCAATGTTAGATTCTATGGATCTAAAACTTCTTAGAACACAGTTAGCAGATAACTGACATTTCATAAATTCCAATGGCATTCCATTGGAAAATCAACCTTAGGATTAAAAAAGCATATAACTGTGAACTACAGGGAGGTATTACTGCATAAGCCCAGTAGCCAAGGTGATTTCAGTATCATATGAGACAACAGCAAATAGTGGAAATGTAGCTTTTTGAAGTCAGCCACATTTTTTATCTTTACCTGAGGACATGCTTATTGATTTTAGAGAAAGGGGGAGGGAGGGAAATATCAATGAGAAACATTGATCAGTTACCTCTCACATGCGCCCCAACTTGGGACTGAACCTGCAACCTAGGCATGTGCCCTGAACAGGAATTGAACCCACGACCTTTTGTTTTATGGAATGACACCCCAACCAAGCCACACCAGCCACAGCAAAGTCAGCCACAGTTTGGTTCAAATTCTAATACCTCCATGAACTACCTGTGTGATATGGGCAAGTCATGTAATTTCTCTGAGGGCTGGTTCCATTTTCTTAATAATAATAACTTCCTTGTATTAGAATGTTGCTATGAGGACTCTTCAGCACCAACTACCATTGAAGCTTTGGTTCAATAAATGGTGGCTGTTAGTATCTTCACCAAGAGTGTGCAGAAGCCATGCCAGAGAGGCGATTTTTATTAATCACATTTCTTCCACTAACACAGGGCTTCCTAAAGGCTTGGTGACCACAGAAGAAGCCTTAACTCAAAGACAGTAGAGTCTTTGAAAGGCACAGAATTAAAGTAGGGTCTGTCCTTTCATGATAGGGTACAAAGAAGCCATTAGTCAAGTCAGCAAATATGTGCTATGTAAATCAGCTCCACACAGAGATCACTTGGAAGCAGCATGCTGTGTTGAGGTCCAAGGGGGAGCTTAAAACTGAGTGTCTACCTGGGCCATGCCATCTAGGAAATAACCCAGGAGCATTCAGGGAATCAATTACTGTCCCCTAGAGTTGATTTAGCTGTGAAAATATGGGTAGAGATTGCCTGGGTCCATTTCAAATGAATCTTCAGAAAGTCCATGAACATGGCAAGATTTGGAGAATCCAGGAACGGCTGCTGTCTAGACTGTATGTGTTATTGGATGGATGTTGAAGGAAAACTACTAGAAACCTAATAACCTCAGTATCTAGGTTCAAATCTTCCTGTCTACCAATGTTTAACCTGTTTCTTTCTTAGTGGGGAAGGGAGCAGGATTGCTTGCTTTGTGGCTTTGGATTCAAACAAGTAGGCCTACGTTTAAATTCAGGTTCTGCCAGGTATTGACTCCATGAATTTGGGAAAGGTACTTAATTTCCCAGAGCTTGCTCAGTTTCCTCATCTATAACCAACTATATCCATTTTGTTGATTTGCTACAAGGATTCCATGAGCTACTGCATGCAAAGTGTTCTTTCACATAGCAGTTACTCAATAAATCTTAGCTCTCCTGTATACTGAATATTACAGGGGTTAAATGAGAGAATCCTTTTCTTCCAGCTAAATGCCAATATTGGCTAATTTAAGCATGCAAACACCAGGTGACCTGTTTCTAGGCTTGTTCTGCCCTTGGCTACTGACAGGAAGAAATCGACATCCATAGCGATTGCCCCTGTCCCAATGGCTGCTGCTCCCCATAGCTGACAATAGCTGACAATGAGTTGCTGCTCCCAATGTAAGGTCTGGGAATTCATGCTGTTGGCTCTGCACACACTCTCCATGTTGAACTTGGACATCGGCCAACATCTGAACTCTAGCCTTAAGTGAGATCAGCTTCTGCGTGTTGGGCACCTGTCTTTGGGAAAATAGGATTTTCTCCTGTTGGAGTGTCAGTTTCTGGCTTTTATAAATTCAGTGCCCATGAAGCTATATCCTCCTCCAATTTGCACCTATTGTCTCAAAGCAATCGGCACCTCCTTTCACACTCAGAGGTGACCCAAGTTGGATGATGAATTATATACCCATCGGGCTGCCAGTGAAAGCAAGGTGGCTGGGCATGATTCAGGCAACATGAAAAATTTTTTTAAATCAAAGGCTTTAAAGAATTAAAAATCAATTTTTAACATCAAGAAACCTGTGCTACTTGGCTCAAGTAGCTGGTGGCGATTAAGCTAAACGCTGCATTGATACATCTATTAACAGTGGCCTCCTATAGAGCAAGAAGAAAATTTTTGAGAGTCCGTGTGTGCCCACTGGGAGAAGACATTGGCATGCTGGTAAATGTTTAACAGCCAGCTCTTGGGCAGCGGTGTAATCCGATCTGGGTGTAACTACTCCCATCGTGACCAATTTCGAGCTATAAATGTGATGTCAGTGGACACAGAGGAAGAAAAGAGAGGCACACAATGAGTTCTTGTGAGGTGGTTCCCACACACCAGTGGAGGAACGGGATTTAACCTGTACTTTGAAAACTCTTGGAATGTTTACATTTTACAATATTCATGTATTAATTTTGTAACATACATGCTAAATGTATGCTATATGTATGATGTATGATATATACATATATACATGATATATACACACATAGTTGTTTTCGTTGTTAAAAAAAAAAAAAACCTGAGTGAAATATCCTTTTGAGCATATAACACATCAGGGGTCTCATAAACCAGGTTGCCGAGGGGTTTCATATGACCACCAGGACAAAGGGCGGGTTTACTTTACTATTGATGCCCACGATTTACCTTGCTACCCCATTATATATCCGGTCCATAAAACATCTGTGTTGAGACAGAAACTAAATGCAAAATGTGAAAATGCTTTTGAGTGTTAGAGGATAAAGTGAAATCTAACCTCAAGCAAGGAGAAAAAAGGTTAAGGTGCAAATGATGAGAAAAATGAAACAGGAACAGAAAGTGTAAAGTTGCTGTTTATCAATTTTGCTCTCTATACTGAAGTGTGTCTTGGTAGCTTCTTACAAGAGTGGAGGGGAGTGGGGAAGAAACAGTCCATACTTCCGTTTATTGAATGCAGCGTTCGCTGGTCACATTGCAACTCAATACAAACCGCCCAGCAGAGTAGGGCACTGATTCTTATTCTCATCAATGTAAACACAACATTAATATTGAAGATTCAAGAAAATGAGTAAAAAGTCCAGTGTCTCCTCAATCTGTGTAACAGTGAAGGTGCTCGCCTACCCTCTGGACAGGCCCAAAGGGAGCCTGAGGTTGTGACCTTGTCCCAGCCGCAGTGAAGTGGGCACAAACACAGAGGAACTCAACACGTTCTTCCCGAAGGTCTCCAAATGGACGTGTGATTCTTCAGAACTGGGCTCTCATGAATTATGAAAGTTCTTATAAAGGCCTGAGAGGTTCGTACCTTTCATGTGCACTGAAACAGTCCCTTCAAACCCCTTTCCCCAGGAATCAGTTGTTGCCAATAGAAAATGTGACTGGTTGTAAAACGGTTGGTTTTCATCTTTCCTTTTTAGCCCCTGGATTCTGGGGAGCTGGGAATTCAAGGTCATGGGGGTCTCGGTGATAATCCTGTTGAAGGCTGACCATGTTTAACTATTGGCTGAAGACTCTTCCTCCTTGCTGGGCCACTGCTGATAGAGGGCTATTGGCTGAGGCAGCTGATTTTCCTTCAGAGCCTTAAAAGATGAGATTTTATATTTTGGATTCCCATACCAAAAACAAACAAAAACCCAAAATCCCCGCCCCCTCAAAATAAAAAATAAAAATAAAAACAAAACAACAGTGACCTTGAGGATAAAGAACCAACCAACCCCACTTTCAGGTCCAGCCAGGTACAATGTCCCCATTGGGCTTTTTGAAATCGTTGGTTCTGATTACTGGCTTGTCCTCCCCATGGGTACTCAGCTAGATTGCAGGGCAAAGAAGAAAGTTTCCCCTGAATGAAGATACATTTTTGCCTTTATTTCCTGGAATGGCTGATTCCCAGCACCCTGACTTCCCTTTCTTAGAAAGCAACAAGACATTCGAAAGATCTGCTTGCTTTCGTGGCTTTGTGGTAGGATAACCCTAGTGTTCCGTCTCACCACCCCCATGTCCCATTCTTGAAGAGACTATGTGGATAAGCTCTTTTTCCACATTCTGGGAATGCTGGGTCCTGGGGCAGAGAGGGGTGGACGGATCCTTGTCCCAGGTCTCTGTGGTGTGGGTAGCCTTGTTGGGCCAAAGAGACAAATAAAAACAAACCAAAAAAGCATTGCTTAACTTTGAGTTTGAAGGCTGGGCCCCAAACAGCAAGTGGCTCTCCCCCTGCAGAATGTCTGTCCCTAGTGGTAGCTTCTTGGTGCTAGCTGTTGTTCTCAGCCGTGAGATATTTGAGGGCAGCAAAGCCATAGCGGCGGGACATGTCCTGCTGAAACTCTTCCTTCAGGGTTTTGAGACAGATGCGGTATTGCTTGTTGGACCGGAACTTGGTGATGTCAAAGCTGGGGGCATGAGGCATGTGGATCATGTAGGCGTTGGGAAGCACGACGAATTCATATTCCTAGAAGAAGACAAGAGCAGCTTGAGCACTTGCAGGAACCCTTGGTAATGTGTGATGAATCCAAGTGGATGACTGAATGACTAAGTGAATGAATGAAGGGGCCAATGACATCAACAAGGAGGGCAGCACCAAGGACTGCACCACCACGTTGTTTCCATGACGTAGGACAAAGTACTTGGCTTCTCTGAGCCTTAGTTTTCTCACCTATAAGTGAAAGTAACAATACGGACCTTGAAAGATGACTAGTAATGTGTGCATAGTGCTGGGCAGAGTTCTCGGCCCACACAAGGTTTTTGATAAATGTAATCGCATACCCCTGTAGTTGCTCTAGAATGATGCAAGCCATGAGAGATTCTCTTGCTCAATTAAATGACATCTACTTATGGGACTTCTCATAGGGCTTGATGAAATCTGACAGCCTCAACAGATTAGTACAAAAGAGGGGCCAAAAAAAGAATTGGAAAAAAAAAAGGTTCCACTGGACTGAAGCTCTTGCCTACATATCTTATTACAAGTCATACCGTCACATGGTATCCTCTATGTGACAGAATGCGGATGGAAACTCAGACCAAAAAGGCCTCTGAAATGCAAAACAGCTGATTAAAATTTAAGACATCTAACTCAAAGGAGAAGCCAGCAGACCTTTACTCAGAATCTAAGTTTGCTGATTTTGGACATAATGTCTAATATGCTTTGGTCATCTAGTTGCCCTGCCTGGGGTAGAATAAACTCAGAGAGGGAAAATCAGGATAGAGAAATACTAATGGTGAGGAGTGAGAAAAACCATGAAAAAAAATGCAAGAACTCCCAGAGCTTAGCTGTCTGAGACATTTCATGTGGGGACCAAGAGGCCTACCGATCCACTAGCTCCTATGGATGTGGACAGACTACCTATCAGATGTGTACACATTATTTCCTGAAATTGCTGGAAAGAGTAAAATTATGTTTGGCATGTGCTATTGGCAAAGAAAGGAAAATAAGGGAAGAATTTTCAAGAGTTCTGTCAAAATTGCCGAAAACAAACAAAGCCCAGATCTCAGTGCTGGGAAATTAACTTTATTTGAACCAGTTCACCTCACCACCTGTTGGGTGCATGACTATTACAACATTTCTTTTCTTTTAAGCAGAAGCTGCAGCAAACTAAACATTTCTGTGTGTGAACAGCACTGCACCCCTTCCAAGGATTACTGAAAACATGGATATATAAGGTCATGCTTCTGTTGTTAAATATGGACACTATTCTACAACCTTCTATCTGTATCAGTGGTTCTCAGACCCAGCTGTTTATGACAATCACCTGGGACTGCTCTCGGATATACTGGAGCTGTTGGAAAGTTCTCCAGGTGATTTTTAGGGCAGCCAGCATTGAGCATCCATCTTTCCCCCCTGAATTCGGGGTGCTCTTGTTGAGCGTATTTCCACTGTGCCCCATGAGGAGATGCCTTAGAGACCAGCATCGAGAGAAAAAAGGGTGGGGCTGAGGGACCCAAGCTTCCTCCCTAACGTAACCAGATTAGTGTGCTTTGTTTAACAGAGGTTGACCAACTGCAGCATGTGTGGCCCACTGCATGGTTTTAAAAATAAAGCTTTGTTGAATATAGCCATACCTATTTGTTCAGATACTATCTATTACTGAACTACAGGAGCGGAGTTGAGATCCTAAGCCCCACAAAACCCCCCAAATTGACTATCTGATCCTTTACAGGAAAAGTCTGCAGACCCTGGCTGGGTTTAACCTGTTAGAATTCTGTAGGAGATTGCTTTTGAAATAGGTGTTCGGTAAGTATTAGCGGAATGAATGAAAGGGTTTTATGAGTAAATATAGCCTAGAAATATCACTCTTAGTTATGAGGTGGAATAATTAGCTGAATCTTAGCTGCATGCTTTGTGGAATTTATACAGAACTCCCTGAATGCTTTGTGCCAGTTATATCACTCATAGGCTGTGATGAGTGGTCACATTTGCTTGTCCTTATCACCGGATTGAGTGAGGATGAGGGAGTGAAATGGTTTGTCACAAGATACCCACATTTGCCTGGACCTTGGCTGGAATCCAAGCTCTAATCCAGCTCTAATCCAAGGATAAGAGGAATAGTTTGGGAATCAACAGCCTTGAGGATTCGTACTGCCACATTCTCATTCTAGGTCCCTGAGCACATCTTCTCTTTTAGGTCTCTGCTCTCTTATCTCCAAGGCTCCTTTCAGTTCAGACATCGAGGCTTCCCCTTCCCCACCCCTCTGGTCCACAATATTCCACTCCTCTCACCTGCGCATCCAGTTCCATGATATGAGCCACCTTGTTCCAGCCAAAGCCCACAAACCTCCGGTCGTACTCAGGGCAGTCCCGTCTCACGACCACGTACGGCTCGAAATCGGCCTCCCACTCAACCCGGTAAGGCGTGGTGGCGGTCCGCCACTTGGCGAAGTTTGTGGGCGCGTGGCCTTTAGTCCAGACGTGGTACCTGGGGCACAGGGAGAAAAACCATCAAATGGAAAGAAGAAAGCTGAGCTTTCTAAATGCTTCTGATTTAGAAGAAGAAGAAGATATATATGCTGAGATAGTCCTTGTTGTGGGTTGAACTGTGTCTTCCCCAAAAGATGTGTTCAATACCTAACCCCCATTTCTACGGACCAAACTGCAGGTTAGCTTCTACTAACGTTATTCCTACCAGAGACCACTGCAAGACAGAGGTTTAAGGTGAACCTCAACAACATTTCCTTTCTATAAAAGTTCTCCCCCTTGAAGTAGAACCTGTGAATGTGTCCCTCCTGTGACTATGTTACATTCTAAGGCAAAAGGCATTTGTGTAGATATAATGAAGGTGACTAATCATTGAATTAATTGAATTAATTAATTAACCAATGACAGGCAGGTTATTGGGGGTGAGTCTGACCTAATCATGTGAACCTTGAGACATGGGTCTAGAAGAAAGCAAAGAGCCATGTGTGAGCTGCCTGTGGGGGTCGTGTGGCAAAGAACCAGCAGGGAAATAGTGACCTCAGTCCTACAATCTCAAGAGAAAGAGTTCTGTCAACAACCAGGGAGCCTGGAGGAGGAACACATGCAGCTGGCCCACACCTTGACTTCAGCCAGGTGGGACCCTGGGCGGAGCATTCAGCTACTCTGTGTCCAGACCTCAAATCCCTGGAGACTGTGCCACAACACATTTCTATTGTGTTAAACTTTAAAATGTGTGGTAATTTGTTATATACGAATAGAAAATGACTACAGCCACATAACAACATTAATAAATTAATATTTATTAAGCACTTAATACATACTGGTTATATTGTAAATGCTATTATCTATAGCTTTAAATTCTTATAACTTAACCAATGTCAAGTAACAAATAGTAAGTGGTAGGGCTGGGATTCAAACGCAGGCGGCCTGGCTCAAGGGCCGAGATCCTTAGTCACTACGCTGTGTTACCTCTATTATTTGTCACTGTCACCCACACTCTCCGGCCCATATATAGAGGAAGTAGTCAGTGACTGCACACTGACGTGAATAAATGAATGAATGAGTAATCTTAAAACCTTAAGAGTTACCTAAGACAGAAGCCAGCATATGGCTTCTGAGGCAGGATATGCCTCTGGAGGTTACAAGCTAGTGGCTGGCAGTCTAGTGAAGAAGCAAAAAAGGCCCAAGAAAAAGGAATTAGGGAAAAAGAACATTCAAGATGGAAATGCTTCACAAAATGATAGCAAGACAAAAGGATGGGAACCCAAGAAGTTAGCCATAGGGAGAAAGGACCACATAGTCCTGGTTTCATCTCCATCTCAGGGAGGGCTCTTGGAAGCAACTGAGGGTGCGTGAGTGTCTGGGGTGGCGAGTGGGGTTCTTCTGGCAGGGGATGCAGCTGCTTCCTTACGTTGCTGATTCACACGGAGGCTGAACTTCCCTCTGCCCCCAAGGAACTGTTCACTGTGCTGAATGCATACTGGCCAATAGCTGAACTTTCAGTAAGTTGTGTTGGTGGGTGAGATGACCAGGCTGGGCGAAGGCAGGGACTTCAGCCTTCAGCTCTACCAATTCTGCAGCTTCCACCAAAACCAAATTCACTCGAATGGGAGAAAACGAAAGGTCGGTAATGCCACTTTCATGGACTGTGGAAAGGAAGGACATTGTGAGACTCTGGGACTAATCCATAAATCCAGCCAGGAAGGAGCTGGTCGCCTATTTGTGAACCAGCTGAACTGGCAGTTGTGCCATCTGGCACCTTTGATGGAACTGGCCCGGCACAACTGACAACTGTGAACATGTATTATGTGGAAAAGCCCAGCACAGCAGAGCTGCTGGACCAGGGTTCAAATACCTCCACTGCTTAGGAGCTGTGCACCTCATACAGCAAAGCATTTAAAACTAGGCCTTATTTTTCTCTTTGTCAACTGGGGAAAAGAATACCTATGTTGCTGAACTGATGAGGAGCTGAAATCAGAAAATGGCTGTGAAAAGCTTGACACAGGCTGACATACAGGATGTATTCAATAAATGATAGTTCCCTAACTCGCAGTTCAACACAGTGGTTAAAAACACTGGTTCTGGAGCCAGGCTGTCTGGGTTTAACTTCTGTCACTCAACAGAGGCAGAGGAGTTACTTAACCATTCTGTACCTTGGTTTACTTCTTTTGGTAAAGGAGAGGTAATCTGAATACCTACTGCGTGGATTTATGACCATGACTGCGAATCAGTTCATGTAAAGTACTCAGAGCAGTGTCTGATATATAGTAATTCCTTAAAAAATGGAGATATTCTCCTTACTATTTCTTCTTGTTTGCTCCTAGGTATGATATCAACTCATGGTGGCCTTACTCTTGGCGATGTCAATGTATTGAAAATGATCTTATGTGCCCTCCATCTCCAGAATCTAAGTCTTGGACTACGATGATGTAAAAATGAGGAGTAGAGAGGGGAGCAGGGCAGGGACAGCAGCTGGGTCACTTCTGTCTGCCTGGGTGGGGAGGAGGCAGCTTCCACTAGCTCAGCCAGAAGACGGACAGTGTGCTGAGTTGCTGGTCATCAGAGAATACTGCAAAATCACAATTAACTTGCCATTAAAATAAGCCACAGACTGAAAACAAAGCTACTGTCAGGGCAGCAGACACGGACGCCAGGGCTTGTTGCCTGAGGTCAACACCAGGTAGCCTCCAAAAAAGTGATGAGAGAGGTTTCCTCGGTACACCTTATAGATTGCTACTTAGAGGAGAATGGGGGGTATTTTGCTTTAAGCAGTGGTTCTCAAACTTCAGTGTGTATCAGAATCTCCTGGATGACTATTGTCTAACGGTTGGATTGCTGGGTCTTGCCCCTCACCCTGCCCAAGCTCCTGATGCAGCAGGACTCGGGTAGGACTTCAGACTCTGTGTCTAACCAGCTCCCAGGACGTGGATGCCACTGGTACAGGGACCACTCTGAGAACCTTGGCCCTAGGGAACAGGTAGGAGTGTGGATGATTTCTCAGTTGCAACTGCAGTGGGGAGTAGGTCTCAGCAGCCAGGAGGCTTAAAAGTTCATCATTTGGAGGGAAGGTGACAAGCAATTTCTCGGAGGGAAGGTCTGTAACTTAGCACCTGGGCAGGGTGGCTTACAAGCTGTTGGCCAGAGCAGCAGTCAGAGACACAACAGGCCAAACCCAGCTCTCATGGCCCTGGACTTGGCCTTGAAATGAGTTCTCAAATCACCTGAGGACAGAGATGGAAGGAAGGATGCCTTGGAAATTTGCCAGGCAATGGTATCTATGGGAGACTTGGACTCAGGTTTGGCCTCAGAGCATCAATTTTGCATGCAGCTTCAAACATCAACTGGTGAGAACATTCTAGACTTGACCAGCAGTCTGATGGTATTTTCATTAAGAGCATAGGCTATAGGCTCAGACTTGGGCTGAACCCAGGCTCTGCCATGCATGGACTATATGATGTGGGCAAGTCATTTAGCCTCTCAGAGCCTCAGTTTCTTTATCTGTATAATGGGGATGATAGCATCTGCCTGATAGGTTTGTTGTGAGGATTAAACGAGCTGACCTCAGTGCATGGCAAGCACTCAGTACTTCGTAGTTGTTGTTATTTATTTCTGAAAGAATAAAGGTTTGGTTTGTGGGGATATTAACTTTTTCAGGCCACTTCCTGGAATTCTGTGTAGAAGGAGGAGGCTGGAGTTTGAATCCCAGCTCTACCAGGAGTCCTTCCACACCCCAGCGTAGTTGTCTGTACAAAAGGTGGAAAAGGGTCATCTCCAAATTGAATACCTGATCTCATAAAGTGATTTTCATAAAATAGAGTTTGAGAAAACCTTCTAGAAGCTTCTAATAACTGACTAGTGGTATGAAAATCTAAGTTACTATTACAAACTTTTCAATAAAATCATATTTTCTACATTTTTTTTAAGCTCAAAGGAGGTGCTGGCCACTCTTATATCTTCAAAGTGGAGGCTTCTCTTTCAAACAGAAGTGATGCTGCCTCTTCAGACAGCTCTACAGAGAGACCCGGCAAGATCCCTTTGTCTCAGGGTCGCCATATCTAATGCTGCAGCCTGTCCCCGGGAGGTGGAACCCATCTTCCCTGAGCATTCTGGTCAGGTGGCAGGGGAGCTCCCCTGCCATGTTCTTAAGGCTTAGGAGCCTGGGGCATCAGGAAAGCAAAGGGTTTGTCTGAAACTGTCACTTGGACAAAAGGAAAGTCCGCGGCTCCAACCTTGGTGACTTCAGTTGTTGAAGCTACTCCTGCTCATCCTGGACCCAAGGACCTCGGAGAACAGGCCACTCACAAAGAAAGAGAAAGGGAAGCAGCAACCATGGCACTGATAGGATGAAACCCACTCACCAGGCGAATCAATGAACAAGCAAACAAAAGAGTGAATTCAGAGCCAGGGGGCAGGAGCGTGCACACTGGTTCCAAGCACAAAAAGAATAAGCCACCCTTCCATCTGGACACATAACAGCCACCACCCATGTACAAAACAAAGTACACAGCTCGTGGGAAGAGAGAGAGTATTCCAAGGGCACAGTTTGGGACCAGTGGTGCTTTTTTTTGGCCTTAAAATGGCCTAAGGCTAGCAACAAACTTCTGGGCCAATAGCTTTGGTGTCTGGGTTTCCCGGAAGAACTTCGTCCCACCCCCACCCCACCCCGGGCCCAACGGGACAGCCATGACGGCTACGCACCTGAATGTGAAGAGAGTCCCCATGTCCAGCATTGACAGTAACTCCGCCTTGGACTTGGGGAAAGAGAGTCGGTAGCGCAGCGTCTCGAACGCAGGGACAATCATTGCTTTCTTGGTGTTGGCGAGGTCGAGCTGGATGACAGACTTCCTGAAAGGAGAGGGCAAGAAGACACAGGGTCCCTGTGATGCCAGGCAGTGGCCTTCCCTGCGTGATGGCAGGGCAGGGTTGGCTCAGGAAGGTGTAGGGGGCAGAGCCCAAGTCAGCCTCTCAGTTTAAAGATGGAGCTGCTGAGGCCCAGGGAGGCTGAGACGCTTGCTCAAACCACTCTGGAGTCCAGATTAGACCTGCTGTCTCTGAACCAGAAAGCGGAGTCTTCCTGGAGAGGGAAAAAGGCCAGGCCAGATGGCAGCGGCTGGGGACCCTCTCTCACTTCACAGTGCACAGCCCTGTCGGGGCCAAGTACAGCAGGCAGGTCTCCAAGGCTTCCCAGGGATGGACCTGCTGGGCTGGCCACACAGGAGCAGCTGCACAGATGGCTGATGAGAAAATGATCACCCTGGGCACGTTCGGGTCCCTTCTCTGTGACGCCTCAACCCCAGACCCTGAGCCTTTAACCTGGCCAGACCCGCCCTGTGCAGCCAACCATCCGGGACAGCAGAGCACGGGGTCCCACAATCTGCTGCGAAGTTCTCCATCCTCTCATTCCCTCCTGGCCAAGCCTGGCCTGCTCTGCTTCTCTGAGAGCCCTTCCCTTTCCTTCCCTTCCGGACTTGTCTGCCAGTTCCCAGCTTGGTGGCCATCACTGGAAAGAGAGACAGGTCTAGAGAGAGGGCCATAGGGCATGAGGTATGTGATGCACATGGGCAGAATCCGAATCCTGGCTTTGCCACTTTAGGAGTCTTGCCATACTGGACAAGTAATCTAGCTTCTGATTACCCCAGGTCCCTTCTCCCTAAAATGGGGCAATATCATCTCCCTTGTGGAGCTGCTGTGGGGACCGAACGAGGTGACATGCAGGTTTGGCACGCCTGGCACAGGGCAGACTTGTGGTCACTACTAGACTGCAGCGCTGCCATCATTCCCTGGCTCGCTCTCTCCCAATCTCTTCTGGCCATGGCCTTGGTGCTTCCTTCTACCCTGGGTTCTCAAGGCCGGCACGGGTCGTCTGCCTGTAATCTCTGATACGGAGAAAGCAGTCTCTCTTCAGGCAATGTGAGGAGGCACTGGAAGGCATTTTACAAAATACCGGAAGCAGCAGTCCTCTGTAGCAATGCCTGTCTTACTAAAGTCACTTGACTAAACAGAACTCCGAGCCTGTGCATGAGCAGCGGCGAGGGCATGTCTGCAAAGACTAGTCATGCTACCAGCAATTAACTGTGTTAGCCCAGGCCAGGGCGGGACAATAACAGAGCATCAGTCTAGGAGGGGGGGGAATCTGGACCCGGTCAGAACAGGTCTCAGAAACTTCCACTGGGTAAGGGGTCTCACTGTTTCCCAGAGGGGGGCAGGGGTGGATTGAGAGGTGGGCCAGAAGTTGATAGTGGAGTCCTCCAAATACCATCTGTAGTTCACTTTTTATAATTGTGCTTAAGTTAGCGATATACTGAATGATACGTGGCCCTCATGTCACTATTTCAGGGAGTCATAAAAGGAAGATGCCAAGATAGAACATGGGTGAGCTATACTTAGCTGGGGGGAGTACCAGCGGCTTGAGTGAGCCTGTCCTGGCCAGTGTTCCTCTCCATTGTCTCTCTGCAAATGACTTCACTGTTGTCAAACACCCAAGGGTTCCTCACCCAGGGCCATGCGTTCTTGTTCACATTACTCTTTCATTTGGCCTAGGCAGAGCGGGAGCCCCTCACCTTTCCTCCAGGGCAGGCAGGGACCTAACCTACTGATCCTGGGTGTCTAAAGAATATCCTTGGACCAAGATGGCAAAGCCCCTAGATGGGGGAGGGAAGGTGTCCCAGAACTGATGGCTGATTCAGATTCATTCCTCAGTCACTGGGCACCTCCTATGTGCCATGCACCATGCTAGGTACTTGGAGACACAAAGTGAACAAAATAGCCAAAGTCTTTCCCTGCTTGGCACTTAATGTGTCTTAAGTATCTCAGGACGCTAAAGCTCACGACGGCATATGCAACCAATCACCTTAAGACATGAGTGCTGTAAAAACAGCGTGGGAAGCTTAGAAGGGCTGAACCAGAAAGGGAATGAGCAAGTGTACACGCACATCCACGATACACGTAGGGATCTTTGAACGTGGATCTCTAGCTATAAAAGCCTCAGACTACTACTACAACCATGGTTCTTAGAGTGGCGACTTCTTGGAGTGCCTGCTCAGGGGCAACTGCCCCTCTACGGCCCCCGTACACAGGGGCGGCCCCTAGAGCCATGCAGACCGACGTGAAGCCCTGGCCAGGGCAGAGCGTTCAGGGGCAGGCTGTTAGATAGATGGACGGCCTGGTGGTAAAAATGACTAAACCCTAACACTGGTCCTGGCAGACGGCCCTGTATACACACACATGCAAGCACACGTACACACGCACACATACCCCTCCCTCTCTCTCTCTCTCTCTCTCTCGATCTCTTTTTAACCCCATCCTTGGCCCTCAAGGCAGGTCCCTGTCACCAGGGAAAAGGTCAGACGCCTGGCATGAGGAGGTTATGGGGAGGTGTCTCCGAGAAGGCAGAAACAAGGCTGTACCGCGTGGCTGCCACGGCTTCGTCTCATCAGCAGTGAAGGCGCTGGCTCTGGGGCCAGGCTGCTCAGGTTCACACCCTGGCTAATTACTTAACCTCTTTGTTCTAGATTCTGTATCTGTAACGATGGGGCGGTGACAGCGGCATTAATCTCAGAGAGAGTCTGTGAGGATCAAATGATGTAAAGAAAAATGAGAGCGTAGCTGAGTTAAAACAAGAAGAAATGGCTTGGGAACTACCTCCAGTTTGGGTCTGTCTGCAGCTGGCGGTCTGGGGGTGTGGGGTCAACTCACAGGGTTGTGGGGCTGGGCCAGTAACGTGAAGGACTGACGCGTGGGCTGCTGGGGGGACAGGCGGGCAGTGTGGTCGAGGGCAGCGGCTAGCAGGCTTCCGTGTCGGGGAGACAACAGGGAGGAGAAGGGCAGGGGGGCGGGATGACCGGGGAGCCACACCCAACATCTCTACGCACGTTTATGCCAGTAGCATGGCTGCCGCACGGGTTCACGGCATCGAGGTGGACAGATACTATGACGTCCCAAGAGAAGCCAACTAAAAGGATTTTCGACGCATTTGAGGCCTGGATGTCTCTCAGGGGATGTCAGTTTGAAGGGAGGCTGAGCAGTGAGGAAAAAGAGCACAATCTTTTAAATCAGATGATTGTAGGTCCTATCTTAACTCCACCACTTCACTACGTGTGTCATTACAGGCAATCTTCTGAACTCTCGTCAGTTTCCTGACCTTCACAGGTTTGGTTACCGAGAACTAAGGTAAGAGGTTCACTAATGAATGAATATGTATGAAGCCAGACATAGATTTCGGGTACAGAGCGGAATGAACAGATCTAACCTCTGTCTTTGCAGACCTCAAAGTGCAGGGAGCGAGAGGAGGGGAGGAAGAGCAGGGAGAGAAACGGAGCACACACAGCTCCCTGCTAAGTCACGTGGAGAACTTCCCAGCTCTGACTAAGCAGGAGTTAGCCGGTCAGGAGGGAGGTGGGGTGGGGTTCTGGCTGTTTGCAAACTTCTGGAAATAAGAGAGCATATAGAGTTTGGGGGAACTGAATACCTTAGAGCATGCCTGCACATTGTAGGTGGTCAATAAATGGTAATAAAAGTGCTCACACGTGTTCGGTATTCCCTGTGTTAGGCACTTCGTAGACATTACTTCTTCAATCACTGCGACCTGCAGGACAGGCCCTAGTATTCCCCGTTTACCCATGAAGACATTAAAACTCTGGAGGTTAAGTATCTTGTCTTATAACACAGCTAGTATTTATCATCATCACTATCACTGTTGTATCATTAAAGCTGTACCAGGTTAGAAATAACCTGGAATGATGAAAAGTCAGAGGATCAATTTGCGCCACGTCTGTTAAGAGAGTGGCTTTGCAATTGGAGCACTGAGCTCCTTGGAGTTCACGGGTAAGGCGGGTGGTAGGGGAGCGGTTAGGGATGCGCTGCAGGGAGACAGCGGAGCCCTGCAGCCTCCTTCATGCTTCCGCTCCTTAAATGGCGAGCTCCTCCACACAGCAGACCTGACCTTGTAGCAGCTGAGCAGGGCGAAGGCCAGAACACAGGCAATGTTTGGGGACGTGGAGACGTGTGTGCTGACTTTTTGGCTTACGGAGCCTCCTACACCAGTGATTTCCTTTTTGTTATACCCATGAGCTTCTCAAACTACCACAATCTGCCACTGACTCCTTGGATCTGGCCCAGGTCAGCAATGTCTCCCTCGCTGACAAATCAGACTTCTCCATCCTCATCTTCCTGCACTGGATGCCAGAGACCGCTTCCTCTGCCCTTAGCTTGAGAATAGCACCCTAGGGTCCCGGAGAGCATCCTCCCACCCCCTGACTCTGATCAGGGTGCCTGCTTTGTGCGTCAGGCCTCTGGGTGGATGCTGCTCACAGATCGGGTACGTCTTGTTGCCCCCCACTCCTTGGACAGGGATGGGGTCCTTGAGCTCCTCCCACACAAGCTCCCACACCCAGGCCACAGAACTGGCTGAGCCTGGTACTTTGCAGTGGTGCCATGAATGGCGAGGCTGACTGCCTCTCAGGGCCTTGGATTGCCACGGCCCAGTCCACAGCGTCAAGTGTTAGAGCCCGCTGTTCAGTCAGACCCGAGATGTGAGGAATCCGAGCTCTTCTCGTATGGGCTCCCAGGGACTTGTATGAAAGTTACCTGACCGGGGATGGGAGGAGGGAAGAGAGACTGGCGCTGGAGTGCCCATCAGTTTCAGAGACTCCAGAAGAGCATCGCTTTCTCTTAAGGCTTTGTGCGCAGCCAGCGGGGGGCTCGCCTCCCTGCACCTCCCTCGTCCCCCTCTGCTGGCCTGCAAGTGTCCTCCCTCATGAAGGGCCTGTATTTCTTTGGAACTGGTTTGCCCTGAGCTATGTCTGCCACTGAGGATGGCGGGCGATGGCAGTGGTGATAGCATCCCG